CTGCAGCCACAGGGGACCATGGGCAGGTGGCTTCATCCAGACCACAGCTGCAGGTCCCCTGGACCGCAGGGTGGGTGGCTTGTCCCTCTCCTGGGCCACAGCCACAACTGCTGGTGCCCTATACTGTGGGGCAGGCAGCTTGTCCCTCTCCCAGGCAGCAGGCGCAGCCCCAGCCGCTGGCACCTGGAACCACGGAGTGTGTGGCTTGTCCCTCTCCAGGGGCCACAGGTGCCGGTGCAGCCACTGGCACCAGCGACCATGGGGTGGGCAGCTTGTCCCTCTCCCAGGTTGCAGCCTGGCTGGTCCCCATTCCTCCCTCATGAGCTCATTTGTGCCTGTTTGCTCCCCATACCTCTCTCCCCAGTGTTGAGTGTCTGAGCTATTATGGTGTGATGGCATGAGGGCGTGATGACCATTTGCATATTAGCTCTTTATTATATAGGATTTTTGCTAATTTCTGCATGGAAATATTTTTTTTTCATTCTCTTAGGCAACTCTGATATTTTGAGAAACTGGAAAACTATTTCCCAAAGCAGTTGCGTCATTTTACAGTCCCACTAGCAGTGTATAAGGTTTCCAATTTCTTCACAAGCTTTCCAACACTTGTCATTGTCTGTCTTTTCTATACTACCCATCCCAATGGGTGTGAAGTAGAATCTCAATGTGCTTTTAATTTGCACCTCCTTGAAGACTAATAATATTAAAAATCATTTCATGTGTTTATTAGCCATTTATGTATTGTTTTTGGTAAAAGATTCATTCAAATCTTTTGCCCACTTTTTAACGGGCTTGTCTTTTTAATGGACTTGTACACATTTTAAAATATATTCTGGATACAAGTCCTTTATCAGATATCTTATTTGCAATCTCATGCATTTTCTTGCATTCTGTGGATTTTATTTCTGCTTTCTTGATGGTATAATTTGCAGCACACGTGTTTACAGTTTTGATGTAGTGCAATGTATCTGTTTTTTTTCTCTCATCACTTGTGCTTTTAGCATTGTATCTCAGAAGCCATTGTTTAAATTTCAAAATACTTACTTCTATATTTCCTTCTAGGAGTTGTTTAGTTGTGGCTGTTAAGTTTTAGTGTATAATTCATTAATGTTTCTACATGGTGTGTGGTAGGAATCTAACTTCATTTTTTGGAATGTGTATATCCAGTTGTCCCAACACTTCATTAAAAAGACAATTTTTCCCCATTTTACTTATTTTCTTGACACTCTTGTTGAAAACCAATTGATCCAAAATATATGGGTTTATTTCTGGACTCCCAATTCTGTTCCATTAATCTATATGTTTAATGTCCATTCTCTGTTGAGCCCACTTCAATAGGACTTCCAAGACGGTTTGTCATAATCAGTGCTGACCTCTGTGCTGCCAAGGTCAATTTTCTTTCTTCTTACATTACTTTTCAGATGCATTTCACTTTGTGATGATTCCATTACATATGAAAGATTCTCTTTCCTTGTTTTTTTAGGCATTTTCTGGCTTTCCTTATTTTTCATAACTTCCCTTATTAGCTCTGCTTTCTTTCCTTGAGCTATAGATTTCCATTAGAGGAGCCCTCACATCCCACCAGAATGGACTCAACCAGTACTCAACTCATCCCACTGTTTCAGTCGTTGGTAGGGAGCTAGCTCCCATGCAAACACAGTGGTGGGACAGAGGGGCAACAGCTGGGGCTGTCAGCAAAGAAAGGCACCTCAGCAAGAGGACTGAGTGGCACATTTCCATGGCCCCCTCCCGTGGTCTATAAAGTTCTTGGTGCTCTGCCTCCAGTCTACTTCTCTTAGATCATATTCTCACACTCTCCTTTCTTGTTGTTTCCCCTGCATAACCCAAGTTAATTCTGAGTATATTTATTTGTTCCTTTTGCTTGAAAAACTGTCTTCAAATATTCACATAAGTTATAGCTTCTCATCATTCAGGCCAACAATGCAGAGCATATATTACCTTATGAAGGAGTCTCTGCAGGCTACTCCTTCTAAATTAACTGAACTTCCCCCAACCCTAAACCCAGTAACTAATCTCCTAGCATCATCCAGTTTTATGTCCTTTATAACACTTATTCTCTAATTTTTTCTTGCCTATTATGTTTACATATGCCTCCCCCAAACAGTACACACACACACACACACACACACACACACACACACACTGTCTGACACTAAAATGTACCTCATTAGAGCAATAATCCTGTTACCTTGTTCACTCTGTATCCCTAGTTCCCCAAACAGTGCCAGGTACTTAGAAACTGTTCTATAAATGTGGGTTGAATGACTGAACAGAAGGATAAATGAATGGATAAAAACAGAGAATCAAACTGAGTGTAAATCAAATGTACATTCTGAAGTTTTATTAATGTTTAGAAATGCTAAAAAATTAGGATTATTAAGTGACATTTTGATGAATATTAAGAAATTTATAAGTTTTGTCCAAACTATCTAAATATGGGAAACATTTGAGATGTTTTCAAGCAGATGTAATTTATTCTGAAATTGTCTGTCTTTCTAAATTTATGCAAGATTTGCTTTTCACTTGACTAGTGGCAAGCATGGTATGAGATTTGTAAAGCTTTGCTTTAAAATTGTGAAGTGTGCATGTTTTATTCATATCTAGTGATCTCATGGGGTGCAAATAACTGACATGAAATAACTAAGCAGAGTTTAAACTTTTAATGTCAGATCTCAAAGGATTAGTAATAGTGGTAAATAGGGAATAAAGAACACATACATAAAGAAATAAAAGTCTTTAACAGAAGGAGCATAGATGTCAATAATCTAACATTTCTGGTTAAATAATCTTGATATAATATTCATCCTGATTTACAAATTGCACTATTATAATTTTAGTTGAATTCCATAATGAGGAATTTTCTATCTAAAGAATACTATACATTTCTTTGCAAGAAGTGAAATTAAGATTAATGACACTCATATTTCACATTGATGTATTCCTAAGTCCTTTATTGCTAAACTATATCTTGTTTGTTAAACCATTATGCACAGTGAGCATCTCCAGGGAAAGCAATGATCTACCCTAACCTCTGATATGTTTTTCTGAAGGATGAGGACGATGGAGAGGATGCCCTCCCGTGTCGGAACAGTGACCCCGTTATTGGGATTCACACAGAGAAGCTCTCCCTCAAAGCCAGCGATTCCATGGATAGTCTCTACAGTGGGTGGAGCTCATCAAGTAAGGCTACAAAACAGGAACAAGTTCCTGATGGGAGGTCTGGGTTAAGTTAACTAAAAACAACAGACTTGCTCCTCTGGGGCTGGTTTCTCAAATTAGCAATAAGCTTCCAGCTACTTGATAAGATAAATAGTAAAAAATGTATGGTGTGTTGAATTTAAAGCATTGCTATTGTTTAAAATGCTACGTAATATATTAGATAGAATTATGTACTATTTTGAAACTTTTGACACTGTTGTCAGAAGTGTCCTTGGGGATATGCCTCAGAAGATCATGTTGGGTAATTAAATCTGCATCCCTAAAATAAAAACATATGCTGGGGAGAACTAGTGTTATATTGAATCAGTAATTTTAAAATGACTTACAGTTTTCAGATAAATAATATCCTCTTCTCTGTCTCTTCTTTCCTTCTTTCCTTCTTTCCTCCTCCCTTGCTGCTTTCCTCCCCCCCCCCCCCATCTCTCTTTCTTTCTTTTTTTTTCATCTCTCCCATGTCCCTTCCTCCTTGCCCCTTCTCTCTTCTCCTGTCTTCTCTCATTTTTTCCTTCCTTTCCATTATTTTCCTTAAAAAATTCTGGATAAAGCAGGACATTTACGTCAATTCTGACATTTAAATTCCCCTCCAGCATTAGTGGGTAAAGAGTAAAGTAATATGGAAATATTAAAAAGTAGGAATATCACCAATTGGGTGACAAAAAGAAATCAGCACATGATCAAAAAGGATTTTCTTTAAACATTGATATATTCCTAAGAAGATCAATCACTCGGGATTCAGTCACATATCCTGCTACAATATTTGGAAACTGCTGCTATTGCAGGGCACTTTACACTGTTTTACATCCCTCTAATCTTGTAAGCGCTTTTAAATGTTTTTGCAGTTTATTTTTCATTTCCTTTTAAATCAGCTGCTTCTGTTATTTGAATTTAGATAGCAAAGACCAGATGTTTCAAATATCCTGAATTTTATTCCTATTTTCCTATTGGCTGTTAAACAGTTATTTTGTTTAAAAAGCAACTGTAGAAACATTTGAAGGCTATATTTTTGCATGTGTGAAATTCAGATATCATTAGTATTCATTTCTGCTGGCAATTTTAAAATTCTGAAGTGTGATGCTGAATGTGGGAAGAATTTTATTAACTAGAATGTACCATGGAAAACCAGGGCCCAGGGTGGTCATGAAAGGGAAGTGTGAGGAGACGGTGGCTCACTTAGCTGTTACGTACAACTTACTTCTGTAATTAGAAGAAACTACCCTTCTTTTACAGCAGTTCATATACAATATGGAGCATCCCTAAGGATCTTGACCTTGTTTCCACAATTATTGTTATTCATGGTTGAGAAACTGAGGCTGTCGGTCATTGAACTGAGCACCCAAAGGCCCACTGAAGGAGAAAGTGAAGTGACACTGAGAGGGGGACACTAAGAGTGACTTCCACTGGAAAGAATCCTTGCCCCCAGACACACATCAAAATAGAATCACTTTCCTCTTAATCCCCTGAGGTTCAAAGTCATAAAGGAAGAAGACCAAAGAGCAAGGATTTAGAGCAGCTTTAAAAAGTCTAGTTTAGAACATTTTTGAAAGCCATATGTACAAACTTAATTATTTGGCTTGTCCAGGGAGTTAAGTTTACACTATCTGCTTCTTTAACAAGTACCCATACTCAAAACACTGTCCAAAGTCAGATGATATTTGGGTTAGTGGTTGAGGAGAGAGTGGTCGGATTGGCTGGAGAAAGGTCCAAAGTGGCTCAGAGGATGGAGGTCGCTGATGGAGAGTGACTGGGAGGCAGAAACAGGATGGGTCCTTGGAGCCTCTGAGGGAGGATGGCATCCGATGTTTCAGCATCGTCCCTGCTAGTGGTTCCAGGTGATGGTTCAGAATGTTATGAACTTTCTATGAGAACTGTTAACCTCTGCTTTGCCTCCTTCAGGTGGAATCACAAGCTGTTCAGATGGCACAAGTAACCGGGACAGCTTTCGACTCGATGATGAGGGCCCCTATTCTGGAACATTCTGTGGCCGCGCCAGAGTGCATACCGACTTCACGCCAAGCCCCTATGACACTGACTCCCTCAAAATCAAGGTGTGTGCACACACATCTGCATTCTGTATGGTGTGTCCAGTGCTGGTTGTGTGATCTGTTTCTCAAGGGCAAGCAGTGAGAACTCGGGGGAGGGGATGTGAGTCTGTTCTTCCCAAGGGTAGAACTGGAGACCAGATTGCTGTGGCAAGAGTTTAAACATAACATGCCAGGCAGAGTTGGGATCAGTCCTTGGGGCTATTAGCATAAGCTGCTAGGGCTATTAGCGTAAGCTGCTGTTATGTAGATAATGCATAATCAAAGCCTATCAGAGAAGAAGGGATTGTGTACATTTTCCTGAAAGCAGGTGCCCAGCTCTGCTTGATCATTCCTGAAGTGAATATAATAAAGCAAGGGAGAGGGAGAAAAGGTGGTGATATTAGGCAAGAGTCCAGCAGAGCAAAGGCCTTGGGAACCAGACTTGTCTGGGGCAACTTCAGTACTTAAATTGGTTACTCTGAGTAACCAAACATCTTCCTACCAATGATATTCCCTCCTGAATTCCCTCGTCTTACTCTTATCCTCTGTATTCATTTTCTATTACTGTGTAACAGATTACCACAAACTTTGAGGCCTCAAACAACATAGATGTATTGTTTTCTCATAGTTCTGAAGGTCATAATTTGGACATGGTTCATCAGCTGAAGGTCTCACTGGGCTGAAATCAGGTGCCAGCTGGAAATGTGATCTCGCCTGAGCTCAGGTCATCTTCCAAGCTCACTGGCTGTGGGCAGAATCCAGTTACTTGTGGTTGTAGGAGTGAGTCTCATTCTCTCTTCCTGGAAAGCACCCTGGGTCATCCTTAGCTCCTGGAGGCGGCCGGCCGCGGCCCTCTCTGTAACAACTTCTGCAGGAGAAACACTCATCATGCTTCAAATATCTCTATTTTTAAGAGCTTCTACCAGATTAAGTCAGAAATGCCCAGATAATTACAAAATTAACTAGTCTGGGACATTAATTACATCTGTATAGTCCCTTCTGTCATGTAACACAACATAATCACAGGGGAGAAATCCATCATTTTCATTATCCTGCTTATACTTAAGGGGAGGAGCTGGTTGCAACAGCACAAATAGAAGAAGGTTTAGTGCTAAAACATTGTATAGATGTCAAATTATTCCTTTTAGTAACACAAAGTGCTATATAGCTAAAAGGACAGAATTTATGAATTTTTATATTGTCAGCACCAAGCCAATGTTAACCAATATTTATAAGTTATGAAGTATTGATATTATCATTTAACATTCAAGGCACACAACTCTTTGTCCATCCTGTGGTATCAAACCTGAGCAAGCTCAGTTGAAGGAAGAAGAAAGCATTATTCTCTTCAATTGGCCCCTTAGTCATTTCTTAGTTCCTGTTTTGGGGAATGGAGGGGAGTAGAAGGGAATAAACTGAACACATTTTGATTCAGGATAGCTGTTCGCCATCCCTACAGTATTGTGACACTTCACTACCTCTGGTGCTGCCCTAGGTGATGCTTGCAGAAAACTTGTAAGACACAATAAGAATCCCAGTTACCACTGCAAAAGGATCTTATCCAAAATGGCATTGAGTCTTTGCTTGGTGACCTTTCCTGGAATGTACAATTTTTACAAGTTTTTAAGATACTAGGAAGTATGCGGCAGAGGGCTGCCATGCTTAGAAACTCCCTTCAGAGCTTCTCGGGATTTTCTGGGACTGGTTAGCTGATCCCATCGAGCCTAAGATTTGATGCCCTTATAGTGAAAGGCAGGAAAGAGCTAGATGAAAGCTCATAGGGTCAGAGAGGCAGACAGTTACAAATCAGAAAGCCCAGATTTTTTAATCATACTGAATTCTACTTCACAAATAAAATCTGTGTTTTAGATGTTAGAATATACATTCACAGAGCAGCAGGAAAAAATATTCTTAGTAGCCGACTAAATGCTTTGTTTATTTAGGGGTAGACCCCTAATATGGCAAAACTATGAGAAACTATAATGTCTTCTCTGGGGAAGAAAGTTATGTCTCAAGGGAGTAACTATTCTCTTAAATGTTGGCACTGTATTTGCATAGATATCCATTTTCTTTACAAATAATTATCCCTGTGGGGTTTTCTGCTCTTCCAATAACTGGCAGCATGTAACCAGATAGTATCATATGCAAATAAAGAAAAAGACCAATTTCTTTGTCTATCCCAATGTGCTTCATTGATACTTCAACCCAAACTTTGTTGGAGAGCTTGATCTAAGAATTGTCCTCTCTAGAATAATTAAGTAACAATTTATCGTTAGTGCATACATACTTTTATTATGTATTTGGTATGTACAAAGTTCTGAACACTTTCATTATGTTATATGAATGCAATAATTTAGGTGTGTTTATTTTGTACTGTGGATGAGAGGCACAAACTGAATCACAGATTTCTCTTTCTCCCTTTCCCTAATATGGGAGCCCCTCCAGGAATAGCAGCTTGAGTTTGGCTACATACATAGTACTTTGACAGGATGAGTGAAAAGATCATCATTTTTTATTTCAGACAACTTAGTCTTGAGTTCTGGTTCTGCCATTAAATTCCTATAAGCTCTTGGGAAGTTATTTAATGTTTGTGTTTATTTTTCTGTAATATTTATAGAAACAATGACACCTTGTATATGTACTTAAGACGTGTGTTGTGGGCATAAAATGACTTCATTTGTGCAAAAATGTTTTGCAAATTACATTGTGCTCTACAAATAAAAGTTGACAAATTGATAGGATATCAAACACAAAAACATGTCATCAAATGCATGTAGGATATTTTCTTCAACATGTTGTTTTCTTTGTTGTCACTAGTAGTTTCCTTAAACTTTTTTAAAAAAGATATATTTTATTAATTTCAGAGAGGGAAGGAGAGGGGAAAAGAGATATAAACATTAAATATGAGAGAGAATCATTGATCAGCTGCCTCCTGCATGCCCCACCCTAAGGATCAAACCCAAACCCTGAGCATGTGCCCTGACTGTGAATCTGACCATGACCTCCTGGTCCATAGGTCGATGCTCAACCACTGAGCCACACCAGCTGGGCTTCCTCAAACTCTTAAAAGAAATTTCCTCTTATACTTATTTGTTATCTTGGAATCATTTTAGCATAATGCCCTCATTCTTCTATTTTCTATTATTCCATTCTTTCTACAATAGCACCAGAGTTCTCTGAAATTTGATTTGCATATTTCTTTGTCCTCAGAAAGGTGACATCATAGACATCATCTGCAAAACACCAATGGGGATGTGGACAGGAATGTTAAACAATAAGGTGGGAAACTTCAAATTTATTTATGTGGATGTTATCTCAGAAGAGGAATCAGCCCCTAGGAAAATAAAGACACGCCGAAGCAGTGGAAGAGAAAAATCCAAGACCCTGCAGGAATTCTTAGAGAGGATTCACCTTCAGGTTAGCAAACATGTGGCCAATTGGATTTTTGTGGCATATGGACTGAAAAATTAAAGAGACTGGATCAGTGTTTGAACAGAATTGTTAAAAAAATATACATGACTTACAGCAAAGGAAAATCTGTTTTTCAAGAACAGTTCTTATTTCTCCTTTATCACTTTTATTATGCTAGAATTGTTCTTGATATAATATCCTTTGGACTAAACTCTATTGGTACTCAGCAATGACTGTAGAGATTAATGTTGAGAAAGTGTAATGAAAAATAAAATAAAAAAATACCTAGGAGAATAAATGACCCAGGGAAACATGTAAAGGAGAATCATAAAGAAAGTATGAGAGTGAAAATAAAAATCCAGATGTTATCAATGTAAAGATCTCCACATCTCTACAGGTTGCTAGTGGGAATGGGTTTCTTGTGATATCCCCAGAAAAAGAATTTTCTGAGACTTGCAGGGGAGGACGTGGTATTGTAGAAAGCTTTATTTCTGATCAATTAAACCCCTGAGTTTCCAAGGTCCCATTTTGCTTTGATCTTCCAAGGAAATGTTGTAGAAGATCAGAGAAAAACCAAGCAAAGCTTTAGGAAAAAGGAGTGACACTGTTCATTTATGCCAGCGGACTCAGGGAATAACTTTCCAAATCTGAGGAAAGTAACATGCAGACGGCTTCTCCTTTATATCTTCCTGGGGTCTTTTTCCAGCAGATATGGATTATGCTTCTGATCCTTTTCACGGACCTTGCAAGAAGGCCCCCAGGTGTTGGGGGTCTCCAGGCCATATCTGATGGTCTGGCCTGGCGCCAGCATTAATAACCCTCCCTCCGGGGCAGTGCACTGTTCACAGTTTTATGGCCTCTGTAACAGGTTCTGCAAGACCAGTTTCTGGGAAAGAGGTCATGACTTAATCATAGGTTATCAAGGTAACTTTCCAAATCTGAGGAAAGTAACATGCAGACGGCTTCTCCTTTATATCTTCCTGGGGTCTTTTTCCAGCAGATATGGATTATGCTTCTGATCCTTTTCACGGACCTTGCAAGAAGGCCCCCAGGTGTTGGGGGTCTCCAGGCCATATCTGATGGTCTGGCCTGGCGCCAGCATTAATAACCCTCCCTCCGGGGCAGTGCACTGTTCACAGTTTTATGGCCTCTGTAACAGGTTCTGCAAGACCAGTTTCTGGGAAAGAGGTCATGACTTAATCATAGGTTATCAAGGATGTACACTGAGCTTGCTGGCATGGATTCAGATTGCTAGCACACCCCCCCCGACCCCCACATATCAGGGTTACATTGGAATTAGCCTTTTAGCCTCCTCGGAAGAAGTCCATTTTGCTTTTAGCAGGGCTAACATCAAAGCCAGTATCCCAAGTTTCCATCCTAGGTTGAGAAACAGTCTAATCCAGCATCAGGCTAGCTTAGTTTGTGTTCTCAGATACAGGTCATCAGTCCCTTACATGTGAGGTCCACATGGCCACTGGCTATGTAGGAAACACAGGTTAACGCAAGGAAGCAGGAACAAGAGGACCGAGAGAGAACATGAACTCCTTTTGTTTAGGGGATTGTATAGTCCCAAATTTTTGCAGGTTTGCAATGGCCCTGCCCTACTCTAGTCAATTCATGGTTCCCCAGGCTTGACTGACAGCCACTTTCCCTGTGACACCCCAATTCACTGTGCATGCACTCATCTTCCGCTTTGTCCAATTCCACCCCCCAATAAGCTGCAAGGAAATGGGCCAGTGGTTCCCTGGGGAGTGTGAAGTTGCACCTTCTTAGTGAAGCTGCCCAATTAACAGGCCGATAATGTCTGGTCTCCCTTATGCTTCTTTCCTAATATTAACAACTAGCTAATTACAACGGTACCAGAAACTTGAAAGAAAAAAATGAAAATTATATTTTCTTTAGAGCAGAGATCAAAAGCAAGTCAAAGGAAAATAAGTAAATATAACTCTTTTAAAACTAATTTGTTAGGAAATAGTGACATTAAGCCTGCATAATAATTGAGTTAAAAAAAAAAACTGTGTTGTCTATATTTATAATAAAATTATTTTCTCATATATTAACGAAATATCTATAGTGTTGAATAGTGTGTATATACAATATACCTAGCCTCACTCAATTTACTGTTTTGCAATCCATTTTAAAGTTAACACGGTAGTACTTTGATACTTTTTGAAATTCATTAAGGCAATAGCTAATTGAACTTTCCTTAATTGTTTGTCCTGAATTATCTAGTTACAATCTTGTCTGTAGACACACTGCCTAGGTCTTCCTATATTACTACTGGTGCCCCAAATTGGGTGCTCCTTGGAAGAAGTACAAGTTTGAATCCTGCTTCCCTATTTGTTTTTATCATGACCTATGAGAAAACCAAGGTCTAAGGAAGTGAAATAACTTAGTCATGAACCCTCAGTTAGATGGTTATATCAGAATGGGAATTTCCGTTTTCTCTGTCCTAATTCAGTGTTCCTTCTAGGATATTTTTAAAAGAATTGCTACTGTTTTTTGTCTGTTTGTTTGTGGGGGGTTGTTTAACATTAAAGGGCTAGTAATAAGCTCTTTCTGATTACCTAAAACTTTTATAATTCCTCTTATTCAATTTTAATAACTAAATAAGGATATTGAAATAATAGCCAAATAAAATGGGAGGAATTTTTGACAAAGTTGAAAAGCATTAAACTTCACTTTGAATTTTTATGCTGTTAGAACAGAGGTTACATAAATAAAATACAGACTTTGAAATCAAAAGCCCAGGAATTTTAAACTAGTATATCTTGATACAAATGACGGACAAGATATATGTGCTGAGAAAAGGAAACAATACTTTTTCCAACCACGGTACTTTTGTAAAGCTTAATAAAACTTTTAATTAAATAGAAAGCCTTGGATTCCTTTGGTTTATAACCAAAATCCTAAA